GAGCTTCAAGGGCAGGGCCTCTGTGTTTTTCATTTTAGTACAAAATGATGGCTAAGTAAACTGGTTCTGAAAGTAAGCTCCCAGCTTATTAGCTCTTTCACCTTGTGTAAGATACTTAACTTATCTTTGCTTCAATTTTCTCATCCGTAAAGTGAAGAGTAAAAATAACATCCATTGTCGGCCCTGGCCCAGTAGCTCTGTTGGTTAGAGCATCATCCCCATACACCAAGGTTGCAGGTTTGATCCCCAGTAAAGGCACACATAAGAATCAACCAATAAATGCATCAATAAGTGGAATAACAAACTGTCTCTCTCTCCCCCCTTCTAGTCTCTCTAAAATCAGTCAACAAAATAAGAATAATAATATCTATATTTATATCATGGATGACTGATAGGATTAGACAAGATACACATCTAAAGTCCTCTGGAGCCCTGGCTGGTGTAGCTCAGTGGACTGAGCACAGGCTGCGAACCAAAGGGTCAGCAGTTCGATTCCCAGTCAGGGCACATGCCTGGGTTGTGGGCCAGGTCCCCAGTACAGGGCGCAGGAGAGGCAACCGCACATTGATATTTCTCTCCTTCTCTTCCCCTCTCTCTAAAAAATAAATAAAATAAAATCCTCTGGCAAGTGCCTTGCATGGATTAGTTATGACAATGCCATCACAACGGACAACGAGACAATTAGACCCATTCTAATGCCTACACGTTCTAAGTATTAAGTACTGGCTGTTGGATGTGAGCAACAACCAGATTTCTTAACCTAAAGCCCTGTAGCCCGACCCCAGAGAGGCAGCAAGCGGTTCTCTCAGAACTGCGGATCCCAGAGGCTTTACTCCCAGGGAAGAGGGGCAAGGAGAGACCTTCGGAAGAGCTTCCAGCTCAGCCTTTGCAGCTCTCGGGAACCAGGCTGCCTCTGAACAGGTCTCACAACAGCCTTTCTGTTCTACAGGCAACGACTCTGAAGTTTTTCCAAATCCATTCATTTCCGGGCTCCAAACACACTGACTTTTTTTTTTTGCTTGTGTAGTTTTACTTTTAAAACTTTTATTTTTTACTTCTTTTTTTTCCATAAAAATTTAAACAGCACGAAAAGGGAAAATTAAGTCATTCCTTCCCCAGCCCTAACTTCAGAGGTAATTAATGATGACAGTGTCCTGTAGGGTTCCTTCCCCGCATTTTCTTTTTGAAATTTCAGCGTTATCGAGGTATAACCGACGTATCATAAACTGCCCATGTGTTTAAAGTTTACAAGTGGGTGAGAGTTGACACAGGCGCCTCCACCCAAGAAACCATAACCATGACCAAGATAACACACCTTCCCTCACTGCCCAAGTGACCACATGCCCCTTGGTCACCTGTTCCCAACACTCACCAACCCTGACCACAACAGACAACCACTGATCTGCCTTCCATCACTGTGGGCTACTTTACATATTCTCGAGTTTTATGTAAATCAAGTAGCACAACAGGTACTTCTTTGGGTCTGGCTTCTTTCATTCTGAGATCCGTTGTACTGTGTGTATTGATATTTCATTTCTTTTTGTTGCTGAGTAATATTCCATGGTATGGGTGTACCTTACTATGTTTACCTATTAATTATTGATGGACATTTGAGCCATTCCCAGTTTCTGTCTATTACAAACAAAACTGCTCTGAGCATTGTGTACCAGGCTGTGTGGGGGCGGTGAGGAGGTTTGTAAAGGGGGGTAAGTGGTGATGGAAGGAAACTTGACTAGGGGCAGTGAACACACAATACAGTGTACAGATGATATGTTGTGGAACTGTGCACCTGAAACCTATATAATTTTACTGACCAGTGTCACCCCAATAAATTCAATAAAAAAGGATTAAAATAATTAATTAGTGAATTTTTTAAAAGACTACAAGACATATAGCCAGTCTTATTTGAATAACTTTTAAAACAACACCAGCAACCACTGTGAGTGATGGGAGAGGACATGTGGGTAGACTGGGAGTGGCAACATGGGAGCTATTTCTTCTTAGTACATGTAGCTAACATTTGCATAAGCTCTTAACATTGGCATTTTCAAAGAGGAGTCACCGAGTTCACTGCACCACTTGGAATTCACCAGTCCAAGTTTCCACCTAGCACAGTCCCAACTCGGATGCCATCGCTCTGGGAGGAGCCCAGAGTGACTCACCAGCTATCCTGAATACACTTTGCAAGAAACTCCGAAACACTGGCAAGAAACTCCGTGAGGGCAGGGACTTTGGTGCCCGCTTTGTTCCAGCAACCAGAGTAGGGGCTGGGTGCGCACGTGCACACACACGTGCACACACGTGCGCACACACACACGTGCACGTGTGTTTTTTTCCTAAGCAGCTCATGTCATTTGGGGACAGTTCTACTAAGCACCAAGTCTTTCCTGATGTGTAGCAGATAGTGGTCAACTGTTCTGTCCTAACCATGCCCTCTGGGGACACATTTTGCCCGTGAAACTAAAAATAGTTTAAAGTGCAGATCCTGACTCTTGAACCATTTGCATTAAGGCACAATTTAGTTTGGACTAAGGAGGAACAGAGTTTGCCACCATCAAATATGCTACTCTCTTTGGCATGTCGACTATTTTAAGCCAGTTATTTTTAAGAAACAAAAGACTCAGAAAAACCTTTGACCTTCCCCCTAAATGCCTAAAAGAACTGAGATAGTGGACCTTCTCCAGGACTGCACAGAACCACACGGACCCGGTTACATTTCCGAAAGGCAGCATGCATAGACGCTGAGCATTTGGGTGGGAAAGTCTGCCTGATCTGTGTGCAAATCTTAATTATAGTGGTATGATTTAGAGCCAATGCTTCATCTCATTGTGCCGCAGCTTCGTTGTTTGTGGAATGACTGTGATAGCCTCTGCACAGGATCCTTGTGGGAATTATACGAGAAAATGCAAGCCGAAATGTTATGCGCATGCGCAGTGTCAGCATCATCGACTATCCCAGTTTTTTAAGGATCTTCCTAAAGAACGGCACACCGACCCTTATATGGAGCTCCAGATGGGGCCCCCCAGGGCAGAGTTCTTCCTTTTTTTTTTTTTTTTGCTTGTTTTTAGCAGTTATACTAGTAGTAATGGAGACCCACCTCAGGCATTTTCATAGGATTTTCTTTTGAGCCATCTCCCAAAAGCTCAGACTCATTCAATCTGTTTGTAGATTTAATTCCAGGATGTAATGATATTCTTATTGTTTGGGGCTACTTATTAAAAAATAACAAGATCTTTTAAAGTCTTGACTCTGTTATCTAATTCATTACAGTTTTCTCCCCAAATTTGCCATCTACAAATGTCTTTTCACATTCTCAGTCATCTACAAATTTAACAAAAATGCTTTGTTAAGTCCTTGATAAAAACCCCAGGCAGGGTCGGGTCAAAGGCCCCAGATCAGTGCACGTGGACACAGGCCACTCACCCCACACAGCCCTGCAAGCATGAGCATCAGAGTCTCGTCACGTCTTCCATCCTTTCCTCAGTGATACTGACTTACTCTGGAGACGTCTTGCCAAAAGCAAGACAGAGTCTGACTACTGCATCACTGTAATTCACACAGCTAGTAACTTCATCACAAAATAAAATGCAGATAACTTGATAGGAATAGTTCTAGAGAACTCATGCTCTTCCCAAGTGTCAACACCTTTGTTTACGAAGCGTCCACAAAACGACCTTTCACACACTCTTTGGGGGCTCTTCCTCCTGTGATCAGCATCCTACTTCCTGATCTGAGGTTCCAGAATCTGCCATTTTCCCACGTATGACATTTACAATGTTTTCATGTTTCCATCTGACTCCCTTTTATTTTTACCATAACTTCTCAGGAATGTTTTAATGCTGAGATATGTATAACTTTGTGCTCAAAGACAGAAAGTTGCTGGTAGATTCATAATCCCATCAACAAGTTATTTTACTACATAGAACAGAATTCTCTGAGCGCAGAGGTTGTGGGGCTTCTTTTTAAAAGCTCATTTACCATCTCTTTACTCTCTGGGGTTCTAGCATCTCACCAGCATCCTTCTTCTGTCTTTACACTCACTACATTAGTCCCTTTCCACCTGGCCACTTCTACTCCGGCTAGAGTTCTGGCCTCAGCACTTCTTCAGTTTGCAAAGGAAAAATACAAAACAAACAAACAAAAATCAGACCCAGCCCACACTCCTCCTTGTTTTCTCTCTCCATTAATGTTGAATTTGTTCGCTTCGAATTTATTCGCCGGGTATTTGATGTATAATGTGTACTTGATTGAACTGTTTGAATTACCGACATTTAAATAAATAATACCATGTTAATATCTAGTGATGCTTCCAAAATGTATTAACCATGATTGACTTTAGGCAAATCACCCTCTCTGTGCCTCAGTTCCTTCATTCACAAAAACTGAGTAACAGTCCTGACTCGCTAAGACTATTTTGAGTATGAAATGAAGTTGCGTATATGAAGTACTTAGAACAATGTGACACACGGCAAGCATTATGTGTTATTTCATCCATCACTAGGCCAAGGAATTTGTGTGCATAGCAGACCTCACTGAAGATTTGGGGAGAGAAAAGGGTTTACACTGCAGGAACACAAAAATGCAGACTGAACTTGGTCACCGCTTCTTCCCCAGGAGCTTCCCTGCTTATCCGGTTTCAGGCCTCCCTTCCTTTGACCTCCCAGAAAGTCAGTTCCCCTCCCATTTCCCAAAACAACTGACTTTTCATGCTCAACCCAACTGCAGGCCTCCTCTGAAGAACGAGACTCATGCCTGGGCCCGCACTGTCCCCGGATCCACGCAGCCCCTCAGGGCCACTCAGAAATCCCTTTTCCTTTCTCTTTCCCCAGGAGGCCCCGGGAGGGTCAGATTTATTTGATCCAAGAGAGAGATTTATTTCTCCATCAACTTGCAGTTTGTCACCTCCCTTAGAAAGAAAGAAATAGCAACAATCAAGTCTTGTTTTAAATGTCCATTTGGATTATTGAGATGAATATTTAAATACATATTTTAACCACATTTAAAATACATTTTGAACATTTAAAAAGATACTTTATCTTTCTTAATACTGAATGTCATCTGCGGGTTGTCCAGGCCTTGATTAACAACGGACGTCTACGGAAAGTGAGGTTTCGAGTGTTCTCAGTGTTTCCTAACTCCGAGAAGGAGGTCAGGAAGGACACAGTTGGCTCATTCACCCACAAACAGACACAGAGCGCGGATTCGGCCTGGATGGGAAGGACGGAAAGCAGAAGTTGAGGGGTGCTGCTCTCTTGACCCTGGCGAACACCCTGACAGTGTCCCTTCTGCTCTGAGCTGGCTACTGTTTCCCCCTGTTCTCAGACAACTCAAAGGGTGACAGCAAGGTCTCGAAGGAGACATTGAACTTCCCACCACTAAAAGCAATTGCGGGCTCAAGGGATTCACGGAAAATGAAAAGATAAGACCATATGTGCTTACCAGTGCACCCCAGGGCACGAAGTACGTCATACCACATTCTCCTGAGGGTGCAGCCAAAAATGTCCCGAGACTTCATTATCCCCGAGACTACAGAATCGGGTCACAGTTCTGTAACATACACATTTCGGTGACTCCCAGTTGTCTTCTCTGAAACAGGACAGATCCCTCTATCTCACGGGGTCCCCCTCTACTTTCTGCTTTGTTTGTGGCAGGAAGCCTGGAAGAAGGCCAACGTGATCCTGGCGTTTCCTCCCCAAACACATTTGCGCCCCCCCCCCCCATGCCACACCACAGCCCCAGGGCCACCCTATGCTGTCTGGGGACTGGCTCCTCCTGGAACTGCTGCTGCTCACCCCTCAGGGCGTCTCTGCAGCCCAGACACAGGCTCCGCACTGCCCTTCCCAAAGCGCGGCTCAGACCAGCAAGCGGGCATGAAAAAGGGCCTTGAGTACAACAGAAGAAACGACACTGAAATGGAGGGAGACCAAACCGGAGGGGTATCACCACTCCCCCAGTCTGCCAGTCCACACCCTCCTTCGGGGACCCTCTATCAGAGCTGGGGGAGCCTTCCAGCTGTGCCATCCCCAGGCCCCAGACTGACGGGGGCCTCGCACTCAATGTTCTGCTGTGGCCCTCTTGAAATCTTAGTAATTTCCGAACAAGAATGAGTGTACTTTCATTTTGTTCAGAGCCCCGCAAATTGTGTACCTACTCATACCCTCTCTTTTTCATTGAGATAGAATTGACATATTAGTTTCAGGTGTGCAACATAATGATCCAATGTTCGTGTATTCTGTGAACTGCTCACCAGAGTAAGTGTAGATGACATCCATCACCACACAGTGTTACCATCATACCTTCTGTTTGCCGTTTTCTTCTTAATCCCCCACCTGCCCGTTTGCAGAAACCAGACCATTCTCAGCAGCCAGAGTACCTACGGTTGTGCCCCTTCCCCTTGGAGTTCTGCTCTCAGCCCTGGCGCAAGCTGGCTTTCCAGATGCAAGCCTGCTTCCAGTAAGGACAACCAAGTAGATTGCTAATGCGGGGTGAAATTGTCCTGCAAGTACCATGGCCACAAGTACCAGCAGGGCATAAGGTGCTTTGATTTTAATACAAGTAGATAACAGCATATATTGGGGGCTTATAGAAAAAAACTTTCCAAATGTGGTTATCTGAAGATCCAAATATTTGGTCTCACGTGGACCCCAAACCAAGCAAACAACCAAATTCTTAAACATATCTGGGCTGTGGGACTTGGTATCACGTACATCAATGTACTCTGTGGCTGAGGATGCCTTGGGGAGAGCCAGAGTGCCTCACTACACTCCCTTCTCCACCCCCTCTGTTCATCCCCCCCCCCCCCCCCCCCCCCCCCCGTCTCCCCCGCTCTCCTCCTCCTTCCCGCCTCCACCCCGTCCTAGCTCCTTTAGGGCAGCTTCCGTAATTTTCCAGATCTGGCCCTGACAGTATCTCCCCAGAAGGGCTCCTATGCTCTGCAGAAATCCAAAGGCTGAGGGGGCAGGGGTGTGGAGGTGGCCGTCTCCAATCCGAGCTGGGAAGGGGCAGAAGGACTGGGAGGAAATGGGTCACTGCCCTGTGGCTGGCAGCAGCAACTGCTGCGCTTGAGCTTTTATTCTGGGAACAAATCTTTGCTCTCTTCACCAGGGACCCACATGAACCGTGACCCACATGAACCGTGACTCCCAACAACAATAAAATGGGGCGATCAAGGAGGGCTGAGTCCACATCCCTGGGGTCAGAGCTCCTGGCAAGAGAAGGAAGACAGAAAGATACAGAGCTTTTGTGGAGATAAAAGAAAGACACAGAGAAAATGAGATTTCAAAAAAGTCTGAGCCTTGACCCTCTGCCCCTCGGTGCCTCCACACCAAAAATATTCCATCCTTTTTTTAAAGCTCCTCTTTCCTACTTTAAACACTCCTTCTTTTCAAGGTGAGGTAAGGGTGAGTAAGAAGGGGAACCTGGCTGAAGAGCCAAACCAGGCCAGGAGCTTGGAATCATGGGAGCTGGTGGAGACCTTGGCAGAACCCCACTGTTGGGGTTGGATAGGTTCTGGAAACACCCAGTGAAGGGCTGCTTCTTTCTTTCCTGCAAACCAGATCTAACCGGATTCTTCTACTGCCTCAAGTGGTGACTTTTTGACCCCTTGGCCTTAGTCACGTCTTCTCTCCCACCCCCGCCCCAGGGACTTTTGCCTTTTCCTTGGCAGTTCCAGGGTCTCTGGGGGGTGTTATTTATCAGTCAGCAGCAGAGGGCGATCTGGCCCTGGAGAATGACCAGGTCAGCTCTGCACCACGTGGCCAGATTGCTAATGACTTGCAGCTCCATCAACATAAAGCTAACTCTTCACAAAGGGACATTGTCACTAAGTATTTTCCTTTTCATTCTTGAGAGCTCCACTGCCTTCACTAGCCCTTTCCCCTCCCCACTGCCTTCGTTCTTGCTCTTTCCTGTCCCAACTTCTTAGAAGAAGCAGGAAATGAACAAGGTCCACAGTGGAGAAAAACAACCTCCTGGCCCTGCTGAGGGACTGCAGGGAAATGACCAAGAGCCATTAGCAGCTGTGGGGAGTTGTGAGGCAGCTGTGTGTGTGTGTGTGTGTGTGTGTGTGTGTGTGAGAGAGAGAGAGAGAGAGAGAGAGAGAGAGAGAGAGAATCTAACAGCAGTATTCTCCAAACTTTAGTACACCAATCACCTGATTTAGTAGGTCTGGAGTGGGGCTCAAGAATTTGCATTCTTAACACTCCCAAGATACTCTAATGCTCCGGGGATGGGCCACGTTTTCGGTAGCACCGTTACACATCAAATGCACTGAGTAGTTGGTACAGATCCGGGTTAGGGGCTTGCTTGGATCAAATCCTACTGATGAACTCACCCAGAACAGTCAGACCAGATCCTAAATCAAGGTCAGGAGACTTCATAGGTGAGCTTGCTCCTGTTCCCTCCCCTTGGGAAAGGAGCGGAGAATGTATCCACCTGGCATTGCTTGGAGGAGGCTGGTTTTCCAAGGACTGTTTCTGTCGTCTCAGCTGGAAGGATAATCACAGCAGGCGCCCCCTTCACTCCTGGGCAGGAGATGAAGAGTCTACCCACATGACCCAACTGTGTTCAACAGCTTGTGCCCTCTGGCCTCTGCCACCCCGCAGCACCCTGAGGACCTCAGAACCTCTAGCATCACAGAGACTGTGGAAGGAGCTCTTCATTCTCAAGAGAGTTAAGCACGCACAGGCACTCAGACTGATTCAAGGCTCTGGCTGGTATGGCTCGGTGGGTGGATTGAGCACTGGCCTGTGAACCAAAGGGTCGCCGGTTCGATTTGACAGCCACTCACTTCTGTGCATGCAGCAGAAGATGACAAGACAGAGAAAAGTATCTCTGGATAATTCTTACCCCCTCACCGCCATTATGACACAGGCCAAAATCAAGAGGATACTTCTATTACCTGTTTTCACTCTAAGTTTCTCCAAATGGCGTGGCATTCCATTCAACAAACATCCTCTGAGCACCTGCTCTGCACATGCTCAGAGGGGATGTGCGGTCTCTGGAGCCATGTCTAATTGGAGAGAGAGACCAAGTAGGAAACAAATGCACCGACAAGTAGTAAGAGCTCAGAGAGAGCCCCAAACCCTCAAGGCCTTCGGAAGTCAGGGAAGGCATCTGAAACAGAGGGTTGCGCTGAGGTTTGAAGAGGGAATCTGAGTTCACCAGGAGACAAGGGGCAAGGCCAAGAGAAGGGGCTATTTGAGTCTTGGGGTCTGAAGGCAATCAGGGTAAGTGCTGAAACACAGAACACAAGGTGCAGTCTGGGGTGGGACTCCGTTCACAGAACCTGTGACTTCGGGCTGCTCTGAGCCTTCATCACCACCCCTAAACCCAAAGGGAGAGAGACCGAGGGAAGATCTGTACCCTAACCCCAGAGAACTGTCAGCAGGCAGTCCTTCCCCCTAGGTCTTCCCTAGGTCACCCTCATCCCAGGGAAGGACTCTGGGTGGGGGTGGGGTGCTTTTCTCTCTGGAGAGCCACTGCTGGAGCCAAAACAGCTGCCGGCTGAGCCGGGGCTGAAGCTGTTTCCTCATAGGGGTCGGTCTGCTTGGCTCTGGCAGCCAGGAACTCTACAGAAAGTGAACCAAACAGGCAGAAACCTCAAAAGGGCCAAGAAGGCAAGTTTGCGAGCACAAGAAAGCTACCCCCAAGGACTCCAGAATGGCTCGGGGGGGACCTTGCAGGGCTGGAGGTTGTGTAGGTCCCCTGGGCACGCTGCTTGGTGACCCTGTTCCCTCCCCTGTGCAGGTGCAGGGGTCCTTTCCAGCGCCTCAGTTACCCCCTGTGTCCTTCCCTGAAACTGATGTGCCTCAGTGGACCACACAGTCCTGGTTTTCTTTTCCGATCTCTTTTTCTCTTGCCACTTTACCAAAACAAAGTGTACCTCTCACTCCTCTCTAATCCTGCTAAATGATGCATTGCCCTAGTCTACTAGGGTACAGGAACCACTGGGACACCAAAGGGACAATGCCACAGTTATTTCAATTAAGGAACCGTACACACGTCCTCCACTCTTTCTGCTCCCTAAGAGACAAATTTCCAATAATGTTCACTTAAGAAGTAAAACAATGCTTGTTAATTATAAAAATTTGCAACATCTGTTGTTTTGATAAGTACTACTACTACTATTTTTTTTAACTAGAGCTTTCTGTTATTGAAGATATTTTTGAAATGAATTTGAATGTATTTTTGTTGTTGAAAAGCATGTATAATAGCAGATGAGTAAAATGTTTTCAGTTACTAAATTATATTAAGAGAAGATTACATGGAAGAGGAATCGAAATAGGATTTCAAAGAAAAAAGAAACAATATAAAACTTTCAATTTAGAGTTTAGTGACAAATTAGCTAAATCAGTGATGGTAATATCAAATTACTGGTATTTATATGAATCCTTTACATCATTTAGAAGACTCATTTTATAGTCTTATTATATTCATATTAATATTTACAGAAGGCCAATAATTGTATTTTACAACTCTTAGAACTGTTCAAGTATATGATGAAAAATGTTAGGTGTCAACTTTAAAATGTGTGAGAATCCTGGGTAAAAAAGACAGTAACTTTAAAAAAAAAAAACTGCTTCCTGTATAGTTAGATAAAAATGTGTGGGTATGTGGTTCTTTAAAACTGTTTTAGAAAGATAAAGGAGAAAAACAGAGCTAGGGTAACGTCATTTCCAGAAAGGGTAATCTGGAAGGGCCGGAACTGAGAACCACTACGGAGTTCTTCCTAGGAAAGGGCCAGTAGTCCTCAGCTTCCTCTGCAGCCACTCCCCGCCCCGCCCCCACCCACGCCTCCACCCCGCCCCGCCCCGCCCCACCCCAGCTCCCAGCAGGGAACGCGGTTAGTCACTCCGGAGTCACACAGCCTTTAGGGGGCGCAGCCGCCACCTGGGCGCCCTGGGGAGTGGGTATGGTGGGTAATGGGAGGCACTTCTGACTCTCCTGACCTCTCAAACCCTCAAACTTTTAACGCTCATGATCCCCTTTTATTATAAATAATAAACTCTTATACCTTCCTTTAATGTGAATTGAAACAATGTCTGGGGTTAAAATACATGTTTTCTATTTGTACTGATTTTCCTCCTTGGGAAGATCTGGGCTCCTGCAGAATACCATTCCAGCCTTTGAACCAACCCGCCCCAGACCCTTATCCAACACACTTCTCTTTTCATCCTCCCGAAGACATGCCTATTGATTTCGGAGAGAGGGGAAGGGAGAGGGAGAGAGAGAAACATCAGATGTGTGGGAAACATCGATTGGTTGCCTCCCATACCTGCTTCACTAGGACTAAACCAGCACCCAAGGCATGTGCCCTGTTGGGGAATCAATCCTGCTACCCTTCGGTTGAAGGGATGAGGCTCCAACCAACTAAGCCACACTGGCCAGAGCCCAAGACACACCCCTTGGTCCAAAAGTGGGGTGGGGGGGGGCGCGTACATATGCAGACCAC